TTCGTTAGTATTGTTGACTTCGTATGCAGCTGTAAAACGTGCATTTCTGTAGTGCTCGTTGTGAAGAGGTGCCAAGTAACGTGAAGTTACTTGCAAGCTCAGGTGTCAAGATGTATGACAGAACAAAACACATCGACGTCTTTGGATCGTCACTCGATAACCTAGTGACCATTGCTATCTGTAATAGTAAGAAATTATAGAATTCATGTTAATTACTTACAAATCTGTCCCTGGTATCTTTCTGCGACAAACCAGTATCCAGCATCTGTAGTTCCTCTTCAGATGACAAAGGAAACTGCTGACTCGATAGTCCGCAGTCGAATTGACGCGGTCTTTTGCGCTCATCTGACTTCGAAAGCAATTGCTTTATATTAACAGTCAAATCCGAAATGGCTGTTGACATATGCAGCAACGTTTGACGGAAGTCATTCATGATTGACGAAATGTATTGCACCATTGCATGCAACCTATCTAACCTGAAAAAGTCCACTTGATGATGCACTTAACTTACTGATCTGCTGAAGCACTATGGACACGCTTTGATGCAGATGTAGACGGGGATGTCTCTAATTGCGTCGAACTAATTATTGAACATGTAAATAGTCATGAAACTTACTTAGCAATAGGCGACACAAATTTGTCAAACAACCTGAATTTGGGATATTGAATATGAGTATTGCCAGCCTGCATTTCAGCAACATCCATGTCTACTGAATTTTAAAGATATTGTTGTTTACGTTTTATGACAGCTCTAGGAAATGTTCGTAAGATTATTGTACATACCTCTTGTGCTTCTCAGTGTTATGTGGCAGAGCGCTTTCATCCGTTGAAACTCACTGAACGAAAGAAAGTGATATTTTTTCATGAGAGCAGCTTTCATTTTACTCCACCTTCTGTTAAAAGTGTATCTATGACAGCCAAGGGAACGTGACAATTTCACAGTGGCCCTACGTCTACGAACATTCTCACTGACTTCAATATAACTCATAGTATTGACATTACAAGGTCATCAGTTACAATGAACATGAAAGTCTGAGAGCACGTCGCTCACCTGCATCACGTAAGTTTTTTGTGATGGCTCCAAAGCATGTCGGAACACTTTAGCTAAACAACAAACGAAGTCACTCTATATGCGTATCAACCGAATGCCTGGTTCCGTATTTCGTACATTGTTTCAATGACAAAAATTTTGTTTTTTCATTAAGGGGTGCCTAAATTTGTCGAAGTTTAAGAAAACTTCAGTTCCGGATGCGGCTCATTCAAACACTGTACGTTACGTAGTATTGTCGACAAATTTCTTCCAAATACACGACGTAAAGGCGAAAACGCGACTTTTCCCCTTTATTTACGCTTTCGTTCGCTTTATTTCCCCTTTTTGTGTTGCTTGAGTATCCATATTTCCACATTGTTGGTACATAACAGAACAGAAAGCTTAGAAAATCACTGGAACTGTATCTTGTAAAACTCGATTATCAACTGGTTTTCACCAAAACAACATAAGGTTTCCCCTTACTGTTTGAACAAAACAAAAATGTCGTTTATTCACTTTATCAAATGTATTGTTGTCTCAATATTGCTAAACTTATATAATCTTGTATCAGGAGCATTGTTAAATGCCTTTGTGAAGTCGGTGAATGTTATATATAATAATTACGTTTGATCCCTCAGCATTAATTTTCCTTTTTGTGCCACTATTTCGATTGTGGTACACGAATAACTCCCTGTGATGGCAAGCTGATTCAGTCTAAAAATATTTTGCTATTGTTTTGCACAATTTGTCGAGAAAGCGACTAGGTATGTGACAGTCATTTTAAAGTCTAAAAATTTCAACGAGCAACGGTATATCTCATTTGAAAGATTGTCAACTTCAAATTACAGCCTAGTATATTAAGCTACGTTTTTCAAATCTCTAGTTTTGGCTAATATTATTTGCACCAATTTGATTTTGCAACCAAATTTCTTATCGTTTCAGCTTATCGATTTGTGTGCTCACTAACTGCAAAAGCTAAAACAGCAGGGATTATATTTTTGTATCGAAAAACCAATTCTACTTAGATAACGGTTAGATTTCTGATTTTCTGCATTTGGAAGGGATTAGTGAACGGTCTTTATCTTCACCAACATAAATGTCTAATAATTTGATGGAGTTAAAACTGAGTAACTAAATGCAGAGTTGATGTTTATGTACTCGTTTTTGAGCTGAGTTTAGCTGTGCTGTTTGTCAGAGCTACTGATTGCGACCCACCCATACTAAACAAATTAAACAAGCCTTGTGCTTCTACATGACTTAATACCTATTAGTTGTGGTTATGTGTTCAAACTATAGCTCAGCAATTTGTTGAAGTATCGAATATATTTTAAGTAGTATTTTCCGGAGTATTCAGTCTTCAGTAATAAGGATAGTAGGTTGATGAACCTGTGTTAATCCTGACACATTGCTTTCCAGTGAAGGTCCAGCTTTTCCTTGAAAGTATTCACTGATGGGGCTGATACTACTTGTTCGGGTAAGGCGTTCCAATCATTGACTACTCGATGAGTGCTCGTTATTACGTCTGCATTAAGTCCTCCATGTTCATTGATGATGCTTTCTATGCACGTAAAAGATTCCACGTCTACCAGAGCTTCTCCATCATGTGACTGGGTTGGTGTTCTCCGAGTTGTATTTCATTATCTTTCCTTTTCCCTTGTGTATTTTTGAACATACTGATGGAGTGCTGCTATACTAGTTGTCTTCATCTGTATTTTTTTCGTGTATATGGAATAAAAAGGCCAGTTTATATGCGAAGTCTAAATCATCCAGGCACAAGCTGTCCATTGTATTCCCTTTGAGATGTCGAGGTCTTCATAATCTACTCAACCATTTAAAGGAAACGGAAAGGGGTAGAATAAGCAGACTTCTCTTACTCCTGTCTGTTCTTGGAATGCGCCTGCCAGCCGTTCCCCATGCACTAATTGCACTGTAGTCCATCGTATAAATTTCGGATGATGTTGACAATTTTCTCAGGTACACCGTAGTGTCGAGGAAGGTTCCATGAGATTTTTTCCACACTGTTGAATGCTTTTTCTAATCAAGGAAGTTGATGTATAGTAACCAATTCTTTTCAATCGATTGCTCAACGATTTTCTGTAGTGTGGTGATTTGGTCTGCTACCACAACCACCACCAAAAAGGTACAATTATTTTTAAACAATTGTCTACGTAAGATACTGAATATCTGTTAGCCGGATATCATCAGCAACAGCCTTCTGTGGGATAGAACAAACCAGCTTCCAGCTGAAGAGGAAATTAGGAAAAAATGTTAGAACTGGATAAAACATACATTACGGAAATCATCAAACTGCATTACGAGGCAAGCATTAAGTTGGAATCCTAAAGTGAAGCGGAAAGGCCAAAGAACACACTACACCGGGAAAAGGAAACAGATATATAAAGGATGAATAGCAACTGGAAAGTTCTGCAGAGAATTGCCCAGGATGGAGAGTACTAGTGGGCGGCCTAGGTTCCTCCACGAGGAGTAACAGGCGTAAGTATGTAAATGAATTTCTTGATAGTTAGCAAATACTTGTTTATATTATTGACTGGCTTTCATTGATCATGATGCTTATTACAACTATCAAAAATAAATCCATGTAAAATAAATCGCTAGTCTAAATCAACTCTAAACACTATAAAATTTTATATAAGTAATTAGTAGAAAATTGTTCACTAACGGACTGGTGTAATTTGAATGACCATTTCGAAAGTCAGAGATCGGTGAATAGTTGCTTTTTCCCTGTGCATGATTCGCTATCAGTTTATTAGCACAACTGTACATGAACTGCAAATCAAGTAAATTTAGGCATCATGATGGGGGTGAAATCTATAGATAACCTAGTCAGAGTCCATTGAGTGATTCACAGTCTTGTTATTCAAAATAACATATCAAACATAACTAGATACAGTTGTTATCATGAAACGATTTCGAAATATGCATGAACTGGTAATGACATCATTTAGTGATCTTAATTCATTGGCTTAAATATAACGTACGGATGTTGAAGACTATGTTTCTTTAACTTTTCCAATAAAGCAAGTATTCTGAATAATCGTAAGGCATCTGCTTCATTTATTTTGATGAATCAGTTCATTACAGGTTGATTATTAATATTCTTAATAACTAAATATCACCAAATTGGGGGTTTTGTGGAGATTGTAGTAATTTTATAGTTTAAGTCATGAGTCGATTAAAGCTGATGAATCCCATACTAAGACGAATCAGCCGTTCAGTGCTTCAAGATTTTCCCTATTAGTCTAGATTTAATCGACTCATGAATTCAACTATTAAATTAAACATCAATTATAAAATCCAATTTTTCTTCTTAATCTTAATGAAAGCCAAAAATCATAATGACAATCGCAGATGCTCACTGCTGAGGAGTCCCACAACAGGACAAAACGGCTGTCCAATGCTTCCAGGTTTTAAATGGTAGTCTAACATCAATCGATTCATGATCTCTATCAAAAAAGCAATCATCTCCGCAACTCTATTCTGATAATAAAATAGTTCAGCCAATTGCTGTTAATTTACATTTTAGTTAAGGAGATTCAAAAAAAGAATGTCTCTGTAAAAATAATTAGCAATTTACCTTCATAATCACTAATTAATACAACTATTTCAGCTGACATTATACATTTAATCAATAAACTAAATATCTATTACACAAACAATCACATTCTTCACTACTTGCTAAATCTGATACACAAATGTTTCGGTGTTATATTATGCATCGAGTGTCATTATTAAAGGAAAAACGAATGTTTAACACAACAGATATTTACAAAACAACAGGTTAGACAATGTAAATACGTAGATCACATCGTTTCACATTGGCATCACCATTATGAACTTTTGGTCATTACGAATATAAAAGTGAGTTTAATATTGTTATAGTAAAAAATTTCACCAATAATACAGCAAAGACTTGAGAAGTCTAAATCATGTATATAAATAATTCATAAGATTACAAAAATGATTTTGTTTGGTTTAATATCCATTGTAAACAACGTTGACGACTAGACGATAACATTGATATATTTGATAACATGATCTCATGGTCATCATTTCCATCGTTAATTGACAATTGAACATTCACTTCTTGGTAAATACGACTGCATAAAACTTGACGAATTGTTTTATGATAATTATCTAACCAATTTAATTCATCTGTAGTCAACATATCAGAATTGATAAATTTACGTTGAAATGGAACTAAGGTGACTGGTTCAAAACTGAGCCATTTAGTATTGTTAATGTCTGGTGAAAATTGAAAAGATCGGTGACAGGTAGAGGTTTCAGCTGTATAACTATTCCTGTCACTACTGTGCGAATCTTTTGTTTCAACAGGTACAACAAATACTACATTTTCTAACCGTATTCCAAAGTGATCAGTCCAATAGTAACCAGGTTCAATGGTAACAACCTGTATTTAAGAAAAAAGTGAAAAAGTAAATCTTTATTTTACACGAACCTATCAAATACGATAATATATAGTGAGAATCCTTAGAAAGTTCAATCGCAATGTTTATGAGATTTACATACTAATTAAATAAATATCAGTAACAAAATATTAATCCAGGGTAAGAATTTTCTTAAATTTAAGCATAAAAACTGAAACATTTGAGAATCCATTTGTAGATGATGATCAAAATTCATCAGAAATGATTCACTTTATTATTTCTCAGTTGATCTCAGAAATTATGATGTTATCGAGGAAACTTTAAGGAGTTTTTTCTATCACTGATAACTAATGAACATCGAAAATCAAACTATAATTGAACGTCAGACATTCAAATCTAAGAACAGATAGACATTTTATACTAACACACATATTACCCAAATAAATTTCAAAAGATTTAAATACATGATCCGGTTGTTTTTGAATGTAAATTTGAGTACAAAAGCTGACGAATATCAATTAGCAAGCAGCTCGGCTAAAAATAATCCCTGACTAATCAGCTTACAACAACAAGTTTGAATTTGTCAATAACAAATATGATTATTACCCACAGAGTCTCATATCTTAGCAAACAATGAAATATCAATAACGAAAGAGACCCATTGTTTCATTGAAGGAGAAAGAAGGCAATTCAGCAAAGAAAATACGAATAAATTAAATCGTCGAAAAGAAATTTCTATTCACTGAATTGTCTTCAGTAAGTATGAGCTGTTACAGCGAATAATTGATTTTATTCTTCCGATTGCAGGTTGTAATAATTAAGGCGCCGTCATAGGAGAGATTATGAGTCGTCAATAGCACTTTAAAAAACTAGTGAAATAAGGTGGTAACTAAAAAAAACATTCAGTATTCAAATAAACTTCAAGATTTGGGAAACTGTTTTGTCTGATTCTGAGACACCTAACGAATAATCTCGTGGGAATTTTCACACAAAACTGAATCCATTAAGGTGTAGGGTCGAAAGCGACACCTATAAACTCAAGATATAAAACAACAAAAGCATTCAATTTCATGGATAAATTATTTACTTAACAGAAAATTTACTTAGTTTAATGGATTATAGTTATTGGAAAATGAAGTAAATCAATCTCGAATTGAATAAATGGTAAACACAATATTCATATTTATCATAAAATTGTAATGTAACTACTAGTCTAAATGACTCAATAAGATCGTGTGCCGTATGTAAATTTGTTAGGTGGTTGAAAATGACTGATAGGAAATCATATTTGATTCAGAATGCATATGGCCGGACTATAATTTATGGACGAACCACTGATAGCAAGTCTTGGAATTTGGCACGAAATTTATTTATCCGTAAAGTTAAACAGAATTTTGACATTAAAGCTGATATCAGTTCGTGATTAAAACCCTCACACTAATTCTTAACCTTAACTTCTAACTCCAAATCATAATCCTAATTCCTCACACTAATTTATAACCCTCTTTTGGTACTAGAAATCAGGCAACTTTTCTCAAGGTCAGTTCAACATCGCTCAAAGGTCTGTAAATTATAACCTCAATGACATAACTATTAACTCATCTCCAAGGTTCTCAGTCAACTTCTTCCAATCAGATTTGTATTTTTAAATGATTCCCCGATTAATACAAACTTTTAACATATTTTCAAGACTATCTATAAGTCAAATCACTGCAATCATCACGTAAAAGGAAACGAAAAGTAGTAGAATATTAAGACTAAACTGTCAAACGAAAATGTTGACAAAAATAGTTGAAAACTTATCAAAAAACGGAAAAAACACATTTTTTATTACCATATTTTCTTGTAAGCCTGGTTCTACTATACCCAAACGAGAGTATGCGTTAATTCGACTACCAGACAACCCAATAGGGCCTTCATGTACATTGAGAAATGCACCAACACCATGTCCTGTTCCATGAGCATAATTACCATGAAATTGCCACATGATTCGACGAGATATAATATCCAATCGTGAACCCTGAGTATTCGATGGAAAAATCTATTTAAAATAATAAATAATCAGAAAATATTTCGATTTCACAACATTAGTTGAACATAGTGTTTGAGTAGAAATTAATTAATTATTGAATCATGTTGTTATATTGCTTGCCTTTTTACATTCCACTGTTGATATATAACACTAAAATAATTGAGTTTGGTTAGTATAAAGGCTTTTTTTAAATTGATTTTTCAATATAGTATCTATACGCATCTTAATAACAAAACTTTTGAAAAAGTAAGGTATATTGATGAACTAATCAAATCCATGATAGTGGCTCTTACGTTTTCGTATGAAATCAAAAACTCAATGACATAGAGTTTGTATCTCGATAAAACTGAATTAGGAAACAAGTAAGACCTAAAAATATTTGCAAACTATGATACATAAAATTGATAAACATAGAAAGAAAAAAGAATAAAGACAAAGTTGAGTGGTTTTTAAAATGACGAGAGAATGATAAGTTTTTCATGCAGGAAATAATAAACAGATAAAACTTTAACAGAATATATGAACTTCTAGACGTAGATAAAAGAATCTCGATAATGCCTAAGTTATCATCTATATGGAATCTTCTGATTTCATTCCTATTCAAAACTATTAATTACACACATCTAACGCTGAAACCTAGCACAAACTGTTAATTCTAATCATAAAGTATTTATATTCACTTAATGTTGTTTACTTGTATCAGGACGCAGTAGCTAAGTGGTTAACGCGACGGTGTTTGAAGTGAACGGTACTGGGTTCCACTCCCAGAGTGAACATCAACTCTGAGATGCAGGTACATCCAGCTGACGAGTGCCACATAGGACGATACGTGCGCTCTGGACCCCACTGTTAGATACTATCCATCTTTGCTATTTATGCTTCGAATGTAATAAATTATTTTTGTTTATATCACCTGCATTCTAATTGGTTTCGAGTTCTCGAGATCGTTTGGTGGTGTGTATTATTGATATTTTAAATAAAACCAAAGAAGTGTAACCAATTACCTGTGTGAATATTTGTTATGTATAGAAATCCTATGGACCAAAACCGTACACCAAGTCACCAATCAGGACGCTGGTCTGTTTTGCATCTATTAATTCTATGAAAGCTTAGTATCCCTTGATTAACCAGTAACATGCATAACAAGCACCATTTACCTTAAACTCAAAGCTAAAATCCTGTTAGTCCCATATACACGAGAGCCTCTCTATACCCTGCTTTAAACCCATAAGTGATCACCCAGTTTCTACTATATCTATATTTCAAACAGTCGTGGTTTTTATATAGAAATACCAGACTACATCACATCATACAGTGAAAAGTAACAATCATACAAGAAAACAAGCCAAAAGTGGCTGTAGATATGGGAGGCTATAAAAGTAATGGACTGTCAACAAATTAAGATTGGTAAATCGTACAATATTAGTTAATTAGTCAACTGAAAGGTTATAACAAAACGAATACATAGACAATAGTAATTCAAAAAACCGGTCTCAACTTCCAGAATATACATCCCGTTTAAACTGTATTGAATTCTATAAATACGTAATGTTATCAATTCAGTAAAAGATATAAATCTCAGTATTATGTATGTAGTATATTTGGTCAATAAGAATATCAAATCAACCTCCTGCACTTTGAAATAAACAGAATAAATTATTTCAAAAAAAGAAAAGAGAAAACAAACCTGAAATAAACAAGTAGTAAATATAAAAAGAAAACAAAAAACATCATGAAGTGACAAGTCACAAAGTGTTAAGGAATCTACTGCCAGGGAAGTCCTTCTAGGAGCGGGGGTGTTGTTTACGAAATTGGGAGAACGAAAAGGGATTGTCCGGTGCTTGAGGCGGGTTGATGGACACGGAGAATCCATCTAAGGGAGTTTGAAAACCCTGGCTTTAAACAAATGGTGCGTATGAGCTCCAGGATCCTGAGAGAACAAATGGCGTATGGACCTGTTTTTGGTCATTGTCTACCATGGGACTGTACCTCCTAATGTCGCTCCACTGCCTTGTGAATTAAATTTTGGATCAAAGGCTCCGGGTGGGACCTCTTTAAGAAAACCATCTGCTTCGATTTGGGCACCCGGGCAGTATCACAGCCGTCACACAAATCAATGATAACTACTACTGGCTTCATTGTTATTATGTGGCACATATGTATTTGGTACGCCCCCTGTATCAATGTTTATGTGCACAAATAAGTAAATAAATGCTAAATCTCCAAAAAGAAACAATAGAGAAAGAAAATCAATTCTAAAATTTGCATATCGATTTTTCAGTGATTATTTATTCAGTTAACTTTTAATTCATTTTTGTTGTTTCCATTAATTCTGAAGGAGTTTTTTTCATTGATTCTTAGTAAACTTTCGATTGTATTAATTTATTTAGTATCCTGTAAGTTATTAGATCTTCAATGTATTTCTCCTTGTATTAATTAATTATTCAATGTGATTTTGTGTTAAGTGATAAGTGTGCAATTTGATAAAGTTATGTTTATTATTTTTATTTATTATTTATTTATTTTAACACATAAATATTGGTACAAGAGAGCGCCAATATATATGCGCCACACAAAACAATGTAACTTCGAAGAGATAGAAAAAGAAAAAAAAAACCAAGGAGCACAAAAGAGAACGATAACGAAGAGATTGGTGTAATTTAGTGTGGTCGTAACAATGGAACGGAAAAGTACAATCAGAAGAAATCTTTCAAGTAAGAGAGACACAACCACTTTTTATGAAGAAAGTAAAAGAAGGTTACAGCAGGATCGCCACTGGCTTCTATTCTGAGCCATATCTGATAACGTCTCTAGCCACTGTGTTGCACCATCTCTCAGACCCCAACCAGGGAGTCGTGAAGGACCAACACAAGCCAGTCCTTTGCAGCTTTCTTTCATACCACGACACCATGTCATGCACTGACCACCTCTCCGCTTTTTCCAACCAGTCCCAGAGTCGGCAAATAATGCACGACGTGGAATTCTCTGCGACGACATTCGGAGAACATGTCCAAGCCACCGAAGTCGGTGTTTCAAGATGGTGACACCAATTGAATTATCATCTCTGTGCCCAAACACATGATGCCGAACCTCTGCATTACTGACATGATGTTGCCACTGAATATCAGCAATCCTTCGGAGACAGCGATGATCGAACACAGAGAGTCGTCTAACGTCCTCAACTCGGAGAGGCCAGGTTTCACAAGCATAGAGCAAAACTGCTCTCACCGACGCGTTGTAGATCCGACCTTTTACAGCCAGACTAACATCACGAAGGCGCCAAAGATGGCCCAGATTGGCATAAGCCACTCTGGCTTTCACTATACGTGCATTGATCTCATCACTCACACCCCCACCAGCACTTATGCAACTACCCAGATACACGAACTTCTCGACTACTTCTATCTGCTCACCATCCAGGGTGAGTACAGGATTGGAATCCTGCCAGTCTTGTAGAAGTACTTTGCACTTCGAAGGTGCAAAACACATACCATACCTACGGACACTGATTGCCAACTGATTAAGCGCGGATTGCATGCCTTGGGCATTATCGCACAGTAAGACAATATCGTCCGCATACTCAAGGTCGAGAAGTCTTTCTCCAGGTAACAGATCCACACCACCATTACTTACATTCATCAGAGCTGTTTCCAGAATGTCATCGATGGCAAATTGAAGAGGAATGGTGAGATTGGGCAACCCTGTCCAACCCCACTGCTCGAATGGAACAATGGGGAGAAGTGGTTGTATGCCCTCACTCTGCCTGAGGTGTTTGTATATAGGGCTTTTAGGATGTTGATAAATTTTCCACGCACACCCTTTTTCAATAGACAATTGCAGAGGACATTTGGCGGAGGGTGAAGATATGATCAATACATCCTCGACCAGAACGAAACCCAGCCTGCTCCTCGCGAGTCAATTTTTCTCGGGTTTTGAACAGTGTACAAAGTATGACAGAAGCCAATGGTTTGGACGCAGTCTGAAGTAGACTTATCCCACGATAGTTGTTACAGAAGTGTCGTGAACCCTTTTCAATGATAGGGACAATTATCGACACATTCCACGATGTTGGGATACTCTAAATGCCAAGCTTTTGTAAACAACACAGTCAGTTCCTTAACCAGAAAGTCACCACCATCTTTAGGAAGGGCCGGAGGTAAGTCATCTGGGCCAGGTGATTTGTAACGCTTCAAGAGTTGGAGTTCCTTGCGGACTTCCTCCTCGTTTGGTGGATCAGTCGTCACCGGCCATGGAGGGCAGGACAGCCTGACCGATGTTGCCGGAGCAGCAGGCCAGTTGAACTGCCCTTCGAAAAATTCTGCCCATCGTCCAAGACGTCGATGGATGTTAGTGATTGGCATCCCATCATCCTCGCAGATTGTTTCACTCACACCAGACTTCTTGCTGCCAGTGGCTCGGATGAGCTGGAAGAGCTTGCGGTAGTTACCAGATGCAGCTGCTGCTTCCAGCTCATCAGCACGCTCCGACCACCAGGCTTCTCGGTCCTTACGCAAGCTTTGCCCAATTTCCCTGCGTAACATCCTTCGTTTATGGTCAAACTCACGGTCACCCGGAGTAGACCGACGGGCTTCAATGAGTTGTAAGGAACCAGAAGAAACCCAGTGCTTAAAAGCGGGACGTTTCGCAAACCCACAACTGACTGTTCCCGCCATTTTCATGGCGTCAAGCAATTGCAACCAATGCTCATCTATACTTTTCGGTGGAGTGGTAGCTAGCCTAGAGGCTAACTCGGTTCGATACTTATTTGCAACAGAAGTTGCAACCAGCTTGCTAACATCAATCCGTTGATGGCGGTCACTTCGTTGTCCACTGAAAAGTAAGGCAAGATTAGCGCAGACCAAGGCATGGTCAGAGTCCAGATAGGTACTCCAAAAGGAGCGGCAGTCTTTTACACAACCACGCCAGCGGAAGCTGATCGCGATGTGATCAATCTGAGTCCAGGCTTGGGATGCAGATACGAATACTGAAGCAGTTTTTCTGAAATCACGTGCACCATTCAAACTGGCTGCCTTCAACGTTCGCACACTTATGCAGATCGTACAACAGATAGGGCTGGCTATGTCTTTAGAAAGTCTTAATATCGACGTCTGTTGTCTATCCGATACCCGTATTCAAAACTCTAGCTAAGTGCTACAAATTTGCTCTCCATCTGTCGCTTTGAAAAACTTGTTTTATGTGAGCTTATTTGGGGACCCTGTAGCATCTTCGTTTAGTTTTGTTGGTGTCGCACTAAGAGCTAGAGCTGAGGCAACACTAGCCGATTGGATCCCCATTATCGGTCGGTTATGTGCTGTTAGATTAAAAAGTTCCATCAAAGTAAGAGGAAATCGGCGTGAGGAACGATGTCTTTTCGTCATCGCATACGCTTCGACAGATTGCAGCTTGAATGCGATCAAGTATGAGCTTTACCATCATTTAACTGTTATATAGAAAGTGTGTTCGACAGATATTGTATTAATAGCCGGAGACTTGAATGCTCAGGTCGGGTGTCTAGGCACAGAAGAGGGTCGTTTAGGTGGCCGATGTGGACTTGTTAGTCGCAGGATAGATAACGAGAACCGTCTACTGCAGCTGTGAGTAGACCACAACCTGTTTCTGGCTAGCACTAACTACCGGCACAATAATCGCCGATGTGCTACTTGGCGTCCTCCCTCGGCATCTCAAGCCTGGACTCAGATTGATCACATCACGATCAGCTACAGCTGGCGTGGTTGTGTACAAGACTGCCGCTCCTTTTAAAGTACCTATCTGAACTCTGATCATGCCGTTGTTTGCGCTAATCTTACCTTACTTTTCAGTGACCAAGAAATTCATCGCCCTAAACCGATTGATGTCAGTAAATTGGTTGCAGCTTCTGTTGCAACTAAATATAAAACCGAGCTAGGTTCAAGGTTAGCTAACATTCCACCGAAAAGTATAGGTGGGCATTGGTTCCAGTTGCAAGACGCGATGGAAACGGCGAGTAAAGTCTCTTGCGGCTTTGCGAAACGTCTCGCTTATAAGCATTGTTTCTTCAGATACCTTACAACTCATCGGGACCCATCGGTCTACCCTGGGTGACCGTGAGTTTGACCACAAACGAAGGATGCTGCGTAATGAAATTGGACAAAGCTTATGTAAGGATCGAGAAGCCTGGTGGTCGGAGCGTGCCTATGAGTTGGAAGCAGCAACTGCATCTGATAACTGCCGGAAGTCCTTTCAACTTATCCGAAGCACTGTCAACAAGAGATCTGGTGTGAGCTAAACAATCTGTGAAGATGACGGGATGTCAATCAGCAACATCCATCGACGTCTTGGACTATGGGCAGAATTCTTCGAAGGGCAGTTCAAGTGGTCTGTTGCCCCGCCAACATCGATCAGACTGTCCTGCACTCCATGGCCTGTGACGACTGATCCACCAAATGAGACAAAAGTCCGCGAGGAACTACAACTCTTATTTATTATCATTTATTTTAACACAGATATTTGTACAAGTAGGCACCAACTACATATGCGCCACACAAATCTCATTCGATATGTGTGAGGGCTGTGATACTGCCCGGGTGCCCAAACCGAAGCAGGTGGTTTTCTTGGGGGGCCACTCCTCGAGCCTTCGACCTGAAGGACTGATCCACAAGGCAGTGGAGCATCGTAAGGAGATGCAGTCCCATGTAAGCCGGTGACCAACAATTGGTTCATACGCCATTTGTTCCCTCAGGATACTGGAGACCATGTGCACCACTTGTTTGGAATCCGGTTAAAGCACCGGACACTCGCTTTTCGTTCTCTCATTTTCATAAACAACACCCCCGCCAAGAGAAGGCAGTTAGTAGGACTTCCCTGTCAGAGGCTATATACGCGTGGCCATGTGAGAGCATTTCGAGAGGGAGAGCGGACTCTCCCCACTCTCGGACATACCAGGGCATTCGTGGGCGACCATACCACGTTGAAAGCACCGGTTCTCGTCCGATCACTTCAACTCTTAAGGCGCTACAAGTCACCGGACTCAGATGACTTACCTCCGGCCCTTCCTAAAGATGGTGGTGACTTTCTGGTTAAGGAACTGACTGTGTTGTTTACAAAAGCTTGGCATTTAGAGTATCCCAACATCGTGGAATGTGTCGATAATTGTCCCTATCATTGAAAAGGGTTCACGACACTTCTGTAACAACTATCGTGGGATAAGTCTACTTCAGACTGCGTCCAAACCATTGGCTTCTGTCATACTTTGTACACTGTTCAAAACCCGAGAAAAATTGACTCGCGAGGAGCAGGCTGGGTTTCGTTCTGGTCGAGGATGTATTGATCATATCTTCACCCTCCGCCAAATGTCCTCTGCAATTGTCTATTGAAAAAGGGTGTGCGTGGAAAATTTATCAACATCCTAAAAGCCCTATATACAAACACCTCAGGCAGAGTGAGGGCATACAACCACTTCTCCCCATTGTTCCATTCGAGCAGTGGGGTTGGACAGGGTTGCCCAATCCCACCAGTCCCCTTCAACTATGCCATCGATGACATTCTGAAAACAGCTCTGATGGATGTAGGCAATGGTAGGTAATGGTGGTGTGGATCTGATGTTTGGAGAAAGACTTCTCGACGTCGAGTATGCGGATGATATTGCCTTACTGTGCGATAATACCCAAGCCATGCAATCCGCACTCAATCAGTTGACAATTAGAGACTGTAGGTATGGTATGTGCTTTGCACCTTCGAAGTGCAAAGTACTTCTACCAGACTGACAGGACCCTGATCCTGTGTTCACCCTGGGTAATGAACAAATATAAGTAGTCGAGAAGCTCGTGTATCTAGGTAGCTGCATATGGCTTGTGGGGGCGTAAGTGATGAGATCAATGCACGTATTGTGAAAGCCAGAACGGTTTATGCCAATCTGGGCCATCTTTGGCGCCTTCGTGATGTTAGTCTGGCTGTAAAAGGTCAGATCTACAACGCGTCGGTGAGAGTAGTTTCGCTTTATGCTTGTGAAACCTGGTCTCTGAGTTCAGGATGTTAGACGAATCTGTGTTCATCACCGCTGTTTCTGAAGGATTGCTGACATCCAGTGGCAACATCATGTTAGTAATGCAGAGGTTCGGCATCGTGTGTTCGGGCACAGAAACGATAATGCAATTGGTGTCACCATTTGAAACATCGACTTCGGTGGCTTGGACATGTTCTACAAATGTCGTCCCAAAGAATTCCACGTCGCTCATTGTTTGCCGACGCTGGGACTGGTTGGAAAAAGCGGAGAGGTAGTCAGTGTATGACATGGTGGCGTGATACGAAAGAAAGCTCCAAAGGACTGGCTTGTGTTGGACCTTCACGACTCCCTGGCTGGGTCCTAGAGATGGTGCAACACAGTGGCTAGGGACGTTATCAGATATGGCTCAGAATAGAAGCCAGTGGAGATCCGGTTTAAATTTCTTTTACCTTCTTCATAAGAAAATGGTTGTTTCTTCCTTAACTGAAAGATTTCTTCTGATTGTACCTTTCAGTTCCCCCCATTATTACTATTGTTATTTTTAGTAATATTACACTACTTTACACTAATCTGTTCGTTAATGTTCTTTTTTCACGCTCCTTACCTTTTTTTCTCTTCGAGTTCTCATTGTTTTGTGTGGCGCATATATATTTGGTGGCCTCTTGTACCATTATTTATGTGTTCAAATAAATGAATCTTTCCGGAAAGTCAAATTTAATCTGACGAACTTCAGTAAGTTACCGCTTAATAATTCAATGAATACTATTACAAGAATTTAACAAGCATTTTCACTGGAAACGAACATTGGAAAACTATAAAAGCTTAGCTTGAAAACCCTAAGAAATATGATTCAATTTTTAATTGTTTAAAAAAAGATTGTCACTTACTTGCATAGCAAGTGCAATATGGGCTTTTAAGACGGTTGTATAACAATTCTTCTGTTCTAATGTTGGTTCACCTAAATGGATTGTACGCGTGACATCCGTTGTGCCCGTCAAGTATTGACCACCAGAATCAACAAGGTATATACTTGTATTAGTAATAGGTGCACTTTGACCTTCAACAGGATGATAGTGTATAATAGCTCCATTTGCGTCTAGAAAAAATCCATAATTGAATGAATAAGGGGAAGAAATAAGACGATAACATAGAATACATAAGAACTATGGTAACGCAACACAAAACAAATTTCGTTCAGATAACAAACAATTTATTAACAAACCTCAAATAAACAACATATATATTATATCGTAGCTTACCAGCGCAAGATATTGTGTTGAAGCTTAAGCTAAAAAAATCTTTAGCTTGTGACCGTAATTCATCTAAATATTGAGCAGTTGATGCTTCAGTCAAAACAAGTGGTGGTGTTATTACCGGTAGGCCTGCACCATTTACTGTATTTGGTTTTATTGGTTTGTAATCATGTGACTGTTTACAACAGCTGTTGTTATTAATTTGATTAGCTTCATCTTCTAACCAAGCCAAAAAATCGCATAATACTAATGAATCAGTGATGTGAATTTCACGAATTCCATTTAATTCTGATAAAGATTTGATTGATTTCATTTCAGCAACAGGTGAGATATGAAATAGACGTTGATTTTCTGGAATTTTTGTAACAATTGCATAACTAGCAGATATATCAAGCCATACACGTGACGGTTGTAATGGTAAATGTTTTTCCGGTGAATTATGAACAACAGTTTCCAAATAGTTGAAAAATTCAGAATATGGATGAATTTTTACCTAATGATAAATATATACATATGCAAGAAGAGGTAGGAATATTTTTTTTCTTAAAGAGTAAATCATTTCAACAACAGAAGACATTTTCCGTGAAGTAGTAAATACCAAGACGAAATTGATATAAACTAATAACTAGAGTAGTATAGTATAATATAGAGAAAACTATAGAAGTTTGCTATGACGGAACAAGTATTGTAGAAGTTGGAACTGGTTTTTCAAATTATTATCACTTATAATTTTGTAGTACAGTTAGTGAGTAACTAGATTACTAATGTCTATGTATTCGTTTTGTTATAACCTTTCAGTTGACTAATTAACTAATATTGTACGATTTACCAATCTTAATTTGTTGACAGTCCATTACTTTTATAGCCTCCCATATCTACAGCCACTTTTGGCTTGTTTTCTTGTATGATTGTTACTTTTCACTGTATGATGTGATGTAGTCTGGTATTTCTATATCAAAACCACGACTGTTTGAAATATAGATATAGTAGAGACTGGTTGCTGACTTTTGGGTTTAAAACAGGGCATAAAGAGGCACTTATGTATGACGAATGGACGAATAGAAACTTAGCTGTCGACTCGAGGTTCCTTTTACTAACTTGGTGAAAGGAAACATTTTTTAGTTTAATTTTTAACTATATCTTCTATAACATGGTATTCTTTTTCAAATATTTTTTAACAATAGTAATCCTCTTCCTTTATTTATTTTTTCACACAGTTATCACTCTATTTGTGTCACGTACACACTTTTAGTGCCGTTTTACCAGATTTTACGTTTACCAAAATAAACAATTAAGAATAAGTACTGATGGTAAAATTGAGGCAATCAGCACAGGATGAACATATACCCAAAAGATATTGATCGGTCACAGTCCTATATATATAATACTGGTTTTATTGAGATTTCAGGTATTGTACCATAAAAACATTGGGTTACCGTTTCAGAATTTTCTTAAATTACAACTAAGAAGTGTTTCAGTGACTAGCAGTATGATACGGTATATTGTTATTACTATGTAGTAGACAAGTCATAAAGTCTACAGTTTATACAATCAATTCAGTTTCAAAATAAGTTCGTTCAGTTCATTTTTTGGAAGCTATTTAAGAGATAAAGAGAGATATCAATCGATATATCATGAGTTCAACCTCCCCCCAACTCTACTTATTTTATTCTCACCAGCCAATTAGCATACACCTAAAGTGTAACTGAAAGCTAAGTACACAAACCTGTACTTGATGTGTGGGTCGCATTGGAATACCGATGCTCCGGTTGATATTGATTTATGATGATACGTATCTGTAAATAAAAGCATTTTTTTAAGCTCTTAAGTTGGTTGTTAGTTAATGCTTAATAATAATCGTAACTTACTGAATACTGTTTATCGCTCAAGTAATCATCAAGCCTAGGTGTTTGATCGACAGTTTTCGGATTCAAAAATAAGTCTATTTTATTCAAGCTCACAATAGCATATGCATAAAACACTGGATTGTAAAGTATATCACTTCCACGTAAATTGAATAACCATGCAATCTCATCCAATGCAGATAAAACCAGTAATTCAGCTCCTTTTACTTTCATCATATTTCTAACACGATCAATTTTTTGCTGCCAATTTGAACCAGAAAATGAGACTGGAATAAATAACAGTGGATTTGATGAACGAATAGGACGAGAAACATTTTCAATTTGTAATTCAGACATAGACTCCCAAACCAGATCAACCAAATTTGTGTTTGGTATATTAACTAATTGTCGACTGAGAGGATTTTGAATTCCGTTACAATTTGGTAGAATACCTAATTCAGCTTCAACACCAGCCAATTCTTTTTGTAAGGTTTCGATTCCCGTATAAGGTATTTGTCTACCATCATATCCAATAGAAGAACCAGGTGCAGTTGACGAAACAATCCATTGGGCTCTTGTAGGCGCTTCAGTTAATTCATTTCTAAATAATGACCAATTTTCGTCTAGTTCATTGGAAGCCTATATAAACGAAAAAGCAGTTGAGATTTATTGGATAACGTTAGACAATATTATCTCTTACAAGTAATAGTAACTTATGAATTGGATATATACTTCAGTAATTTACCTCATGAGCGCTGAGCTAAGTTTATAATTTGGGCATTAATTTAATAAGTAGAAATTTGTCTACATTTGTACGAAGACTCAAAAACGCAGTGGGTAGAACAGTCCGAGCTTTCAAAACTGCTAATAAAGGTTAAATTCTCCAACTACTGAGCCAATATCTTACTTAGAAAACAGTCCTATAATATGTTGTTACACTGATAATGAAGTAAATCAAACCGCTATTGAAGAACTGACAGTTATTAGTGTTCACGAGCTTACATAAAAACCCGACGTTACGTTATTACTCCATCCTGAAAAATAATGTACTAATTGTATTGATTCCTTTATTTGTAAAGATATTAACATTACCAGGTTGATCGATAACTAAATACCCATGAACGAAGTAAGTCTGACTAGTTTTAGAGATCATCTGGACGTAAATACAGCAATCTCAGTCAGTCAATCAGCTACAAAGTAGGACCAGGCACATATATGCATCGGTGCAAGTTGCAGCAATCTATAGACTTTTCGACCGTGTGACCGCAAGTTCCGATTAATAATAAATTTTTAGTATACTTAGTCATCATTTAATAAAAATTTGATCAAAATAATTATGGATATGAGCTTGTAAATGACTTTACCTGCAATATATTTGCCAAAATGGGATCACTATAACCGGAGTATGCAACGCTAATGCATTTATCTAGAAAGTCTCATCAGATTTAGTGAGTTAATCACTGAAAAAACCTCAGCAACAACTCAAAAGACCCACTTGATTCTATCAATTTACATCACCGGTGGCGTATATAAGGTATCTATCTCTGTCACAAGAAGATGATTATACTAATTATAATTCTACTCTGTCCTAATGTATGGCTGTGTATCGTGGGTTCTGAAGGCAGAGAACATTGGTCGACTACTAGTATTTGATCGTAGGCCAGTATTCTTGAGTGCTGTTAGAGGTATGAGGGCTGTTCTTAACCCCCGGATGCCCACACCATGGAAGAGTTCTTCTAGTGGTAACTGAAAAGGAATTTGGGTTAGAGATGGTGTTAGTGACCTGAGAGCGTGACCGCAGTGCCCAAGGGACAACTGCTTGGAACCAGTCACATACGACTTTTATGTGGGTAATTTTTATGTTAGCTCCGGACTTGTTGAGAGACGGAAATCCGTGAGATAAGGCCATATGTGTATTTGTAGGGTCGATATTTTGTGACCACATCGTTCCCTTTTGAGAAGGTAGCATCGCTGTTATGCTGGTTGTCTGAAGGAAACACTTTACTACCGTTGCACTTCTGTACAGTCAGCAGTACGACTTCACTCTCGGACCTTGAGTTTGCTTCTTTTAGTCTTACCGCTCTTCAACAGACCTGTCCGGCATGGTATGACCTTGAGGAACGATTGCTCCAGCCAGTATAGCTCGACAAGCGAGCCCGACCACCACGTTACGGTACCAGCCACGGCTGGGTTGATCAAAGGTGTTGTCGAGTCATCGGTCGTGTTAAGAGCAGCTAGTGAGCAGTGATAAGGTTAGTTGCAGTGTACGTAGTAGTGATGATAAAGTGGTTGGTAAATCAAAGTATCTGTATCAACTGAAACAGTGGGGAAATGGATTACTTGTACCCTAAACTAATTAATATGATGCGATGTTAGCTGGTGTAGTAAGTTGAAAAGCCACATGCAACTGAACCAGAACGAGACCTCAGTTTGACTGGTCATTGGATTTTGGTGTGAGCCTAACTGGTATACCAGCTAGCTTGCATCTATAGATGCAAACTACCTGATTGTGATCCGCGCGGTTATCATGATCAATTGCTGAAGATGTCAGGCAACATGGCTGATAATCGGTTACAACAGCTCAGGCGCACTTTGTTTACTCCTAGATCAAAATTACTCTGTATACTTTATTTGACGGATTATATCCTCCTAATGGGATTGTACTGTCTTTGCCTAAGCTTCTTCCCAGCAAATTCTATTACTACTTTGGTACGAGTCTTGGTAATTTCACCAGTCTCTGAGGAATAGGTATGGCAAGTCGAGTGACGTGTGTTCTATGTTACTTTTCACAGGCAGAACGACTGACAAAAGGTATTTAAGGATTCCCGCTTTGATTGGGTTGTTGTTGTGTCGCGATAAGAATAATGAGTAGTAATTTTTTGGGATCCAATTTTGGACCAATACTATACATATATTTTTATCGTATAATTGTTAATTAACTAAACTATTCGTATTCATATCTCTCTTATCATAAGCCTTATTTTAACTGTTGTTATACGATTTTCCATCCTTGAATTATTCCCTGCCTATTAATCACTACCTCCCACATTTACAGACACATTTTGCACAAATGTTATTTTCTATTTTACGCTACGTCGTGGTCTGTTTGCTTGGTATATAAACTCAGTTTGCTTGAAATATGATGATTCATATTACAGAGGCCGAGATCAGTGTTCTGGAAATAACTGGCTGGGCTAGGCGGAAAGCAGGACCAATCAGGACTCTAGGCTGCTCGCACATGTTTTAGGCGTCCTTGGTCCGATCGATAATTCACTGCTTCTGATTGGCGGCTTTGGGCTATAACAGTTGTTAACCTTCTGAAGTATTAGATATACGGCCTCAGACAAAGTTGTTCGCTCGACTACATAATCAGGATAAATGGGGAATAGTTACACATACCTAACAGTTTTGAAACTTTGTGTTATGAGTGAGACAGGAATAAGATAAGGAGAACTTCGGAGGTAAAAACAATATTTTCTGTTTGAGAATTCATATTGTCTGTACATTGAAAAATATTAAATACTAGTCCAACAGAATTTGGTGATTGTAGCTATTGCCTAAAATAATTTGATGGTATGTAAACTGATCCCCAAAAACATTTGCATGGCTAATGAGACATACTTTTGAAAGAATGACTCGCAAGTAAATGTTTTTAAAAGCATCAAGTGTCGGAGCAGAGCTGACTATTGAAATAAATTCTGTTCGTTTAGAAATTTTAACTATGAAACTGTATGCGTATTAGTAAACTGTATATATACGATACCATGAGATCTAAAAACAAACAATATCCAGTTGATTATTCACTACAAAATTTTTGAAAATCAGGACGTACATACGACTGAAGCCTACTAAATGCTAAAAATAACGACATCCTGAAGTACCTAATTGAAGTAATGGGATAACGATGGGCAACAGCAAAAAGCTTTGGGCTCTCAATTTCTTGCATAAGAGTCATAATCCTACCTTGTGAAGTGATTTTATTAAAGATTAGGACTGAAATATGGAAAAATCAAGGAAGATTACCATATTCCAGATAAATTACCACCTAAAGAATTCTGATCTTACTTAAAGTTATTTAGTAAATAACTACAAAAATGTCGACATAGTTGTACTGCTTTGAAATTGTGATTGAAGTATTTTTCTAGAAAACCACCTGTAGCTGATATCGACCATCAGTCCATAAAGCAGCTTGATCTAAAGTGATAACAATGGAGCAGGAAGAACCTGTGAATCCAGAGATGAATGCACAACGCCTATCTGCATAGCCCACATACTCATTAAAATGTTCATCTTCTGTTGGCAGTATATATCCTTGTAAATTTCTATCTTTCAATAAATCGCGAAGACGTGTCAGACGTCCCAAGCTAAATATTTTCTTCATTTTACACCTACAAGATATTACATAAGTTAAGATGAATTTTTATTGCTCGTTGTCAGATATAATCTTACTGAATTAAGTACTGAAACAAAGCGGAAAAGTGTTTGGAACAATAAAAAATAATAATAATACACACTTTTCTGATACATATATGCATATGTTTGAAATATTAACACAGTTTAAATAATGAAGCTAACGGTATTTTAACCAAACCTAAAACTAAGTCCTCTATGTTAAAACACCACATTTCACAACCATAATTTAGTACGGAATAAACAGTTAGGCATCACAATTTTTTCTGATAGGTGAATGCAAAAGAGTCAATACCAAATTTTAACTTTAAAAATCCAAAGTTGTTTTGATACGAAAATAAACAAGACATTGAGTCAAAAAAATTCAGATTCCATGTGAACATATCACTACTTTTGGACTACGATTATGAAAAATCTAGACCTACAATATTCAGGATAAAAGGTTTTCAGCAAATAGTTTGCTCAAGGGACTACCCACTGAAAACAACAAGGGCATTTTGTCCCTATTTCTAATCATGATATGGTCTAAACTGGAAATATCTGGTCTCTGTGTATAAGGAAAAAGTGCCTTTAATCAGTTTTTAATACGACTGGTGATTCAAACACCCAATTCAGCACTCTCTAACGAGGAAGATAACTACCAAGCTAAAAGAGAAGATATAACTTATAGGTCTATTTTTATTTCTTATAAAGTCAGATGACTAGAGATTATAGTAGGGAAATTTACAACTTATTATTTCTGAATAGGAATAACATCCTGTCGACAAATATTCAAATGTGAGAACCACTTATACCAAACAATGATGTATTTTTCGTCAAATATCTTGTAAAGACAGACATATACGAAATAATAAACACCATTTTTAACCTTTTGATTATGAATAGGTCCTTCTAAGCTCACATAAAAGTGAGTTTATTTATCCAAAACAGTATATTTTTATTTGTAAAATATAATCTATGTACAAAAAGTGTTACAAAAAATGAGATGGTATCAAAAAAAGACAATACCAAGGTTCTGGAGTAACACAATATTAAAATGTTTATTAAATTAGAAAGTGTAATCCAAAGATATACTCGTAAATTAGGCATCATGTGAAGTACGATGGTAATTGAGCAGAAAACTTTGAAGGAATTTTTACATACAACTGCTTTTTACGATCATACACAGCATCTCTTCCCAAGTAACCGTATTCGATAGTTAAATAAGTTTTTAAGTCATGCGGAGCTAGCACGTTTACACCTTCAAATGTACAAGGTGTTAAAGGAAAGAAAGAATTATATGGGAATAACTTATTTTTGCAGTCATATATACCGGGTAAATTCCAGTTTACACGCAAAGGCTTTATGTCATCGGAGGAATCTAGATAAGTAGATAGAGTGAACAAATCAACATGTACTAATGATGGATCCGATTGTATATGACTTACAATTTTCGAGTTTAAATGATATAATTCACAGGCTTTAAGTAAGCCATTGGTGCTGAAAAAAAACTTAATGCGTTTGCAATCACACCCATTGTATGGTATCTCTTCAATGGTTTCAGACATATTGAATTTCTGCGCTTTAAGCCAAAAACGTCTACTGGTACTGGCCGAAAAATCGACATATAAATCAGAATTGGCACTGATTAGTAAAGATTCATCCATATTTTCCACACCGAAAACACTTATACCATTTTTTAAACAACAATGAATCAATTTAGTGTATGAACTGTTTCCTTCAGAATCAAATTCTAAAATACCCAAGTCAATATCTGTATCATGTAATATGAATTTTCCGTCTTCACGGAATACAGACAAAGCTGTGCCACCATAAACAAACGGCTCCAAATCAGCAGCTTTGCATAAATCCAATACAGATTTTAGTAAGTGAACTCTTAGTGGTTTAAGACGCCGACTCTGGCGCATAATATGCCGAACATTTCTTAAAGAACACGTCCCGAACATATTGAAACTTATATGGGATTCAGAACTTGAGGCGATATCAGCTGACTCCACGTCAGCGATATAGGAATGAAAGAAGGGGAATTCATGTAAATCTACAACTTCATTTGATTCACACTGATCCATGAAGCCGTTATAAATATCAACCTAGAAACAAAAAACACAAAATTAGTTAGGACCCACATTTTCGAATGTCAGTAAAGTATTTCTGTTAGCCTGAATGGTCATTATTACAGATTTCATTAACATTATCAGAGTCCTTTGGAAGAATTTTACCTATTGCACTGAGTTTTCAATGAAGAAAAATTCAAGAATAAAAAACCAGTTACTTTATATTACAAATTAGTTTTGGAACGCTATCCGATTGGAAGCCGGTCAAAAGTGGTGTACCCCAAGGCACCATCTTAGGCCCTCTGCTCTTCCTTCTCTACGTTAATGAGTTACCGCTGTTACTTAGGTTGTCGATATTATTGTTTGCGGATGATGTAAAAATCTGGAGAAGAATAAAAAGTGCGGCTGATCATGTGGATCTTCAAGCTGACTTAGACGATTTAGTTAGATGGGCTCGAGAGTGGGGCTTAGAAATCAATGCTAGGGAGAGTGTACTAATGCACATCGGTCACGGTAATAGTTACCGTCACACTATTGAGGGTAAACCTCTTCCATGAGTTCAAGAGCACAAAGACTTAGGAGTAATATTAAGTCATGATTTAAAAACAACTACGCATTGCAAAGCAGCCGCTGTCAAAGGTTTTCGTGCGTTATGGTCACTTCGCCGAGCGTTCAAATCTTTTGACGAGGAAATGTTTAGAATTTTATATCCCATATATGTTAGACCACATTTAGAGTACTGTATCCAAGCAGCCAGCCCGTGTCTGGTAAAGGATGCTAACTCCCTTGAGCGTGTCCAGCGTGTGGGAACGAAATTAGTGAAGGGTCTTTCTAGACTCCCTTACGATGAGCGTTTAAAACGCCTAAATTTTTCCCCTTGTCGTATCGTAGGACACGAGGTGACCTTATACTGGCATTTCGTATCTTTAATTATGATTTGGGTTTTAATATGTCCTATCTTTTTGCTCCCTCGAGCACTAATAATCTCCGAGGTCATAGCAAGAAGGTTCATAAACCACGATCTAATAAACTTAAAGTGGGATCCCGTTTTTCTCATCGAGTAGTCAATGATTGGAACGCCTTACCCGAACAAGTGGTATCAGCCCCATCAGTGAATACTTTCAAGGAAAAGCTGGACCTTCACTGGAAAGCAATGTGTCAGGATTAACACAGGTTCATCAACCTACTATCCTTATTACTGAAGACTGAATACTCCGGAAAATACTACTTAAAATATATTCGATACTTCAACAAATTGCTGAGCTATAGTTTGAACACATAACCACAACTAATAGGTATTAAGTCATGTAGAAGCACAAGGCTTGTTTAATTTGTTTAGTATGGGTGGGTCGCAATCAGTAGCTCTGACAAACAGCACAGCTAAACTCAGCTCAAAAACGAGTACATAAACATCAACTCTGCATTTAGTTACTCAGTTTTAACTCCATCAAATTATTAGACATTTATGTTGGTGAAGATAAAGACCGTTCACTAATCCCTTCCAAATGCAGAAAATCAGAAATCTAACCGTTATCTAAGTAGAATTGGTTTTTCGATACAAAAATATAATCCCTGCTGTTTTAGCTTTTGCAGTTAGTGAGCACACAAATCGATAAGCTGAAACGATAAAAAATTTGGTTGCAAAATCAAATTGGTGCAAATAATATTAGTCAAAACTAGAGATTTGAAAAACGTAGCTTAATATACTAGCCTGTAATTTGAAGTTGACAATCTTTCAAATGAGATATACCGTTGCTTGTTGAACTTTGGCGAGACTAATTTATGGACGAACCTTGAACGAATCTTAAATTACCTTGACAATTTTTGGCCAATCAGAAGACAGTTAGTATAAGGTAAAAATATATTATAAGAAACTAATAAATTACAGTGAATATTCTTCTTTTACATGATTTGAAAACTTGTTAAGGTTTGATAAAGGTTCAGATGTTCTGTAATCACAATGCATATGGCTTCATATAAGTCGTCCTCTAGAGCCGTGGTACGGTTTTGAAAATTTCTTCAGTCTCGACCACATGGCTTCAGTATTATTAGTATGAACGCGGGTTGTAGGGTCGACGAAATGGCGCTTGTGCACTACGATATGACGCACATACACAAGTCTGTGTCGGCATCTATAAGCTCTCCAATCATCCGTACATACTGTAGTGCACGGGTGCACGTATTCCTGTATAATTGGTATTATTGTGTTTGCTTGCCGGTTTCTGACCCTCTGAAAATGCCCCTTCTGCGTTGTGCGCGCGCTAATGAAAATGACAGTGGCATTTTTACTCGTTGAGTAAATCCTATTCTTTTGGTCGTTATTACGTTTCAAGATTACTGTTTTCACTTTAATTGAATTTATCTCAGTTAAAGTATTCGATTACAGTATCGTTTCTGCTTCCATATTAGTTTGTCGTCGGTGTTTCAAGAAGGGTAGTGATTTTGTACTTGTTGTGATTATCCTTGCTTTTGTGTAGATATCGCATCAAAAGCATTCTTGGTCAAAATCAAAGTACTTTAGTTAAGGTTTGAAATCTAGTGTAGGAAGCAATTTCCTACAGGTTTAATACTGAGCTATTCCCTAGACCGTCGAATACAGAGTCTTGGTTTGGCCAAAGTCAGAACAAGCAAGCTAATTCGCTAGACAAACTTTATCTGTTTCTAAAGCATAAATTAACATCGTTAGTGTACAACCAAACAGTACGGCCTATTAATACAGTCAAAAACAGAGACAAATAACATACCGAACAGTATCCAAAGAATAGGAAAAATGAGTCAACAAGCAAATTTTGTTTTACAATGAACATCAAACTGCGATTGGTCAATAAAGTGATACAGTAGTACAAAGTCAAAGGGAGTTAATGTGGTGGTCGGCGTTCCACTTTATTATTGGTGGGTTCGTCTATCGATCACATTTTACACATACGAAACGCGCACCACGTCCATAGTCCAGTGTCGTCATCGCCGTCAGACGGCTGGCTCCTTCTAGTAGACATAAGCTTCGTACGTCCCGAACAGTTTCTTCGTTTGCGGTTCTCAATTTTGCCGTACGAAATAGTCCATCAGAGCCATAGCTCACCCGTTCGACAATAGCTTAAGTCCATAGACTTCTCGGTGAGCCAACATTGTTTACTAACACTAAGTCTCCCGAAGACTCATCCATCAATACTTTCTGAAACAATAGTGATCCCAGAATTCTTTTTATCGACTTTATGATGTGTCCCCATACACTGCCTCGTTGACTAGCCCTCGGAAGTTTAAAGCGCCATTCACAACCTCTCTCTAAAAGGGCATTTACTATCTTATTCTGGTTCCAACTACACATGATCTGTCCAAGAATAGCATTGGCTCCCCTAAAACTACCAGATGCACCCTTACTCTTGTTCACAACTCGTACAAAGGCACCTTTCTCAACACCATCCACAATACCAGGGCGAATATGTGCTACCTGCTTCTTCAGGGTCTTAGTTACTGGCTTCTTCGTTACAGTGGCCTTCGGCCTCTTCGTAGTCTTGACTTTCAGTTTGATGTCCTTCTTTTCCTTAGGCTATCTTAGAGTTAATTTGGGTTTATTGGCAGATGGTGCTTCAGTTTTTGTCTTAACAACCTTGTACTTAGTTAATAAAAAGGAATAATGAACTTGATGAGAGACATTTTTGGAACGAGTATATTCTGCAACACCATATGCAGATTCTGATAATGCTATACGATCTTCCACAGACATCGATGAAGTACGACTAAGTGGGTATTTGAATTCAGTTGAATACAATTGTTCAAACTTATCCTCCGATTTCTTCTTAACCGAGAGGCGATTCGTTACACGGTTGCTTTCACGGGGTTCTCCGTAAGGGCCGAACAGTGTCCAACCCAATATGGTCCTCACAGGAGATGGTTCATTCGTCTTCCCGGTTCTTATCTCCTTCATCTCGTGCACACCCGGTGCGTTGCATCCGATCAACAGTTTGACGTTCTCATCCTTTAATCTTGGGAAACTTATGTCTTTTAAATGGGACCAGGATACCATTCGTTGCGCCGTTGGCACAGTCCCGTAAACTGCCTGTAATTTTTTGACTGTCAATACTTTCTGGGCCTTAACGGATGACGGAAAATTTATCGAATGCAACTCTATATCGACCTCTTTGGATAACAATGACGATTCATTAATAAGAGTCATTAAATATACCGTTTTTGGTTTTCCCTCGAGGCCTAACTTATCAGCTAGGTCATCAACTTAGAGAGAGTTATCTGACCCACTATCTAGAAAGGCGCAAGTCTGAATTATCTTCTGAACATTTTTATCCATACCGGCACTACTGCAAACGCTACTGGTCTCTGTAAACACTTAACGACTTCCTCCGTACAAAGCTGAGTATTGATGTAGGCATCAATATTAGTATTCCTTTGTTCTTCCCACAACTCGTGTAACAGGGTATGGTGTCTGCAGCCACACCCTTCGACAGCACACGACCTCGGCGATCGACAGTTTTTTGCTACGTGGTTTGCCTTCAGACATACATTAAACAACTTATGTCTAAGAACGAATTTCTTCCTTTCTCTAACTTTCTTGTCTTTAAACTTTTGACACTGATCTAAAGAATGATTACTGAAGCAATTCAAACAAGATGAACTGCGTTAGGGAGCATTATCACCACTCTACTCACATAAGATACTCTTGCTGCATTGTAATCCTTTTTAAAACAACATCATCTGTACAGTCACTATTACTACCGCGGTTGACAAGTAAGCCTTACCTAGTGTCAGCTATATCACCTTGTTCCTTTGCAAACTCAACAAGATCGGTGAACAGAAGCTCTCGGATTCCTCTGATAGTCTTATAAATACTTTTAGCCACTCTTGTTAAATGTGCGTTGGTAATTTCAGAACCATAGTTTCAAAAGTTTTAGAAGAGTTCAAGTCAGAAACGTAAGTCATCTGTTCGAGAGTCAAACTACATGCTTGCATTTCTCGAGATAGTCTTCTCAAACCACCTGGCTGTTTCCTCCTTATATTGGGAAAGTTTAACAAGTTGTCGATAAACGGGCGTGCTACGTGTTTTTCGACAATCATTTCCTCTAAATGCTTTAGGGCTTGATGGTAACCTATCTCTGGTTCTAGTGTAGTACAATGAAGGATAGCGGCTTTCGCTTCTCCGTCACAATATTGAATCAAGTAATTTAGCTTAGCTCCAAATGCAATGCATTCTTCGAAATTTTAATGAAGTACCAAGAATTTGTCGGTGTACCATCAAACCTTACGACTTCTCTTTTTGGTAAATACAGATTTTTTAATATTGCATTCTCACTGTTGCTTACTGATTGGCCGGAACCTTCACATCTCTGGCAGCGTAACTTTTCTAGTTCATTTTTCTTTTCTAAGTGGGTTATGCGCAACCTAGCTAACTCCAGTTATATCATGCTATTGTTTTCGAGTTCGTTCTTTTCAAGTTGGTCCTCGTCATAAACTCCTGAATGATGGGGCGATAACTCAAAAAGAGCACACAAGCAGTTAACCATCAAAATAGCAGTGGTTCGTAGGGACGGTTTCGAAGAACCATAATTAGATTGATTAACGAAATCCAAAAGCAAGCAAATGATGACATATAAAATTAAACTTTCACCTCCCTGGCATACAGAAGGAAAACAAGTGATCCGGTCAGCCTTTAAATCGACTAAACGTTTTTCGCCTGCAACAGACTCATTTATCTTATCTTCCAGAATCTACGAAAGCAGTGGAAATTATTTACATAACATAACCAAAGAGGTGTCAGTTGACGCTTGGATTTCTTACTAATTAATCCTCAAGCGCATTACATAAGTCATGATCCTCTATTACAAACACAAACCAACAGATTTTATGATACGTTCCGAGTTAAACTGGCTCTCGGGGGTTCAACAGTTGTAATAGTGGCTGACCTTCAAACATTACCGAGGAATTCCATAAGCCTTTCCAGCAAACTTAGGCCACAGCTACCTTTACCTTCAGGAGGCTTGGCTCACTTGTACAGACAAATAACACAAACAAATGCTAAATGGCATAAAAAAAGGCAGTGTTGCCGGATGTTTTACATTCATATTCAATAACGCGTTTTTTTAGAATGACCGTTGGTCTTTTAATCGTGATCACAGTTTTCAGTAATAAGGATTGTAGGTTGTCTGGTCTGAGTTTATCCTTGCAACTGGGCTTCCCTATATGGACTCGAATGCTCCTTGAAATTGTTCACTGACTGGGGTGATTGTACCCCTTTTTAATCTTCACTTTTAACAACCGGTTGAATAACATTCATTAACTGAATATCAAGTATTGATAACACAAACTTTCAAATGCAAACATGTTCACTTATAGTCACACTGTAAAATTTTCATGTGATCTACTGATTCGTGCTATCCCACTCACAAAAGTTGACGTCTGATTATCATTGTATTAGCATTTAGTATATATTTGACCTAACTGTTCGACCTGAATGTACTGTGATATTTTCCATCTTAATTATTAATGCAAAGAAGTTCAGACAAGTATGTTGTTCGAAACGTAGGATTTATTTTGATTTTACTCACTGAGATCTTTAAGCATCTAGACCACTGAGCCAGGACCCAACACTGGTAATGCACAACTTCAATTAATTACCTACATTGTAGCGTTCTCAAACGTTCCAGAATCCCAAGGCTTTTTAAAATATCATAAGTACTGTTTCATATGTCCATAACTAATCAATCAAAGTGTTGTGTTGAGCGCCCACCACGATGATCTGTTCTGACGTGTCTGTGAACTATGCCTGTTACATGCGACCTACCAGTTGAAATACATTATTATCCT